CAGCAGGAAACACCAACACACATGGAGGAGCTGATAGGAATATGAGTGCCCTGCAGCAGGGTGTGAATATATTACTGAGGGCTTCTCACTGTGTGGACAGCAATACAAACTGATCACACAAAGTATTACATCTCTTTCCTGAAATGAAGTTAAAGCACATTTTGCATGCGTCTCACAACTGAGAAATCCTTTTCTGCTTCATTTTTTTCCCTTTCCCTTTCTCTTCTAAACATAATGGATTCACAGCATCAGTACTGCATGTACAGGTGTCAGGTCCAGTGCTATAAAGTATATTTAATCTGCAGTAAACAGATGTCTTGTACATGTAATGTAGTGCTATTTGAATTCCAGTATGTGTAACAAATGAATCATTTTTATAAATCACAATCAATGACTTCAAGATATATTATTATTCAAATGTTCATATAATCTCCTTTTCATTTGATAGTAGTCATACAAAGGGCAAAAAATGGTAGATCAGGTCTTATCACTCACGTGACCATATTTGCTATTACACTGATAAGCAACATGTTTAAACCTTACTTGCTAAAATGGTACATTAACTGACCCTGCCACTCAGAAATGGAATGGTCAGATTAGAGTGTCACGTTCTGAGGTGCTGGCATCAGCTGTTTCTGACCTGTGACAGTGAGCACCATGCTAGCAACCTGGTAGCCGATGGGATTGCGGGCAACGCACTCATAGCGTCCAGCATCAGCAGTTCCCACGTCCTTCACCTCTAGGTAACCCTCATGGCTGATGTGGAACTTGCCGCTTTCCGTCACCTGTACACCATCCTGAGGGAGAGATGGTTGGGGATGGGACAGCAGGAAAAGGTGATGGCCCTGAGAGCTGGCATGTGAAGGTACTGATCCAATGATGAGACAGTGATTAAGACCCTCACAGATGGGACCAACTTGATTATGCTTATTATTCACGTAGTTACTTCATTATCATTATTTGGACTAATTTAGAAAAATGGCAAATCAAACCACCACATACATTTCTCGACCAAGTCTCTGTCTCTTTAGCACTGTCTGACCCCATGACCTCTGTGGTGATGAGGTGACAGGCACTCTACTCAGTTGACAGGAGCTTTAGCATCTAACCTTGTTCCAGGTGAGGACAGGGTGTGGCTGGCCCTGAGCACTGCAGGGAATCTGGACATCCTGGCCAGACTCCACCGTCTGGTCCCTTGGAGTATTTATGAAAACAGGCGTTACTGAAGGAGTGAAAACACACACACACACACACACACACACGTGCATGTGTTAATGATTTTGCACCAGTGCTCAAAGTCCTGTACATGCACAGAAATAAAGTGCATTTTGCAAATAATCACAGCAGACATGAAACTGAGACCCATCTTAGATTTCACGACCCTGCATTTTCTCAGAGAACACACACACACACAGTGTTTTTGTTAAACTGCAGTAGCTATTTATCTTTCCTCTATTACAGTGCTGCAAAACACTGAACAGCTTAAAGTCAGCCTGGGATTCAAAGGGACGGGAAGACCTACTGTACAGTATTTTAAAAGGAATATACTGATTCATGTGGTAGAAACCAGTTGTACCATTTCACAAACACACAGCGCTGAGCTTTGTTACAGCTTTGTGTACAGTATACTTTCCGAGGTTCAAAATACAGTACAACCGTTCCACAGCTGCGGTGTTTGTTCCCTGCACACCATGTGCAAATTCCTGCATGGTTCCAATTCAGCAGTGAGCCACCAGGCCGTGGGAAAATCCAGTTTTAGAACACAAAGTGGAGTGAGAGGTAGCTTCAAAGTAGAATGACAATAAATAACCATCTTTACATCAAAGTTAAACACAGGATTCAATGCAGTGGACAGTACACAGTGTGTTGCCAGTGCCACTGTGTCACAGAAGATTCAATATTCAGTGTGAACACAGCAACACAAAAATAGTGAAATGCTAAACAGCCATACCTGAATGAAAAAACAAATTCACATTAATCCCTGCTTTCACTTTCTTCTAATACTTCATCTCTTCCTCTGAACAGTGTTCTTAGTATGAGGCAACACGGCTGTAGGCTTGTACTACACTTGAACAGAGTGGAGTCATTATGAGTGTGTACTTTGAGCCATGTTAACATGGTAAAACATGGGGTCATTTTGGGATTACAGGCTGCCATGCTTTCCTGTGCTAAGACAAGGCTGTAATTTTACACACACACACATCACACGCAAGAAACAAGGATCATGCACAACAACTATATATGCCTTTTTCTGAGAAAAAGAGGAATAAGGATCACATGAAAACACGTATTTATGCACAAAATTAATGACAGTACAGTACAGGATACATTTTCATTGCACATACATACACAAAAGATGGAGAACGTGCACCACATACAAGACAGTAAATGAGCACACACCCAAACCCACACATACACATGGAGCATATACTGCAGATGCACTGTAACAGCTTACTAGCTGACTTGCATGTGTAGACAACAAATTAGCTGTGAATGAGCTGTGAATACTATACCGCTCCCTCCCTCTCAACATTTTACCACCTGGCACTCCCCTACTTCTACACAAACATGCAGTGTTTGACGAGGGCCTCAGTCACTAAACCGCCTGTGTATGACAGCAGCGTTGTCAAGTCATCCATCTTACAGACACTATATTTCTGAGTTCCTCAGTACAGCCAGTCATGCACATCTTAATTAGATATTAGATTGTCATTTTGTGTATATTAATCTTTAAAATACATATACTGTAAACAGAAGTCTGGAGTACAGTACCAAAAGCCAATTATTTATCTGGGCAGTTTACAAAGAACAACGCCATGCTGGATCATCTAGATTAACTTTGAAGCTTCATCCTACCCTCACCTCTCTGCTGGATGCTGAGCTGCACCGCAGTGCGCACAGACCCCAGAGGGTTGACCGCCTGGCACTCGTACTGGCCCTCGTCATGGGCTGCCACCCGAGTGATGTGGAGAACACCTGAAGACAGGACCACGTGGCGGCGGTCCAGGGGTAAAGGACTGCCCCCCCGTGTCCAAGCAATCACTGGCTGTGGGTAACCACTGGCCTCGCAGGCAAAATCCACTGTCTGACCCTCAAGGACTGACTGATCCTGTGGCGTGACTGTGAACTGGGGGATCGCTGTGGGAAGAAGGAAAGGCCGTTTCATTTCGTGTGAATATAAAAATATAACAATTACAGTGCCTTGCAAAAGTATTCGGCCCCCTTGAACTTTGCGACCTGTTGCCACATTTCAGGCTTCAAACATAAAGATATAAAACTGTAATTTTTTGTGAAGAATCAACAACAAGTGGGACACAATCATGAAGTGGAACGAAATTTATTGGATATTTCAAACTTTTTTAACAAATAAAAAACTGAAAAATTGGGCGTGCAAAATTATTCAACCCCCTTAAGTTAATACGTTGTAGCGCCACCTTTTGCTGCGATTACAGCTGTAAATCGCTTGGGGTATGTCTCTATCAGTTTTGCACATCGAGAGACTGAAATTTTTGCCCATTCCTCCTGCAAAACAGCTCGAGCTCAGTGAGGTTGGATGGAGAGCGTTTGTGAACAGCAGTTGTCAGTTCTTTCCACAGATTCTCGATTGGATTCAGGTCTGGACTTTGACTTGGCCATTCTAACACCTGGATATGTTTATTTGTGAACCATTCCATTGTAGATTTTGCTTTATGTTTTGAATCATTGTCTTGTTGGAAGACAAATCTCCATCCCAGTCTCAGGTCTTTTGCAGACTCCATCAGGTTTCCTTCCAGAATGGTCCTGTATTTGGCTCCATCCATCTTCCCATCAATTTTAACCATCTTCCCTGTCCCTGCTGAAGAAAAGCAGGCCCAAACCATGATGCTGCCACCACCATGTTTGACAATGGGGATGGTGTGTTCAGGGTGATGAGCTGTGTTGCTTTTACGCCAAACATAACATTTTGCATTGTTGCCAAAAAGTTCGATTTTGGTTTCATCTGACCAGAGCACCTTCTTCCACATGTTTGGTGCGTCTCCCAGGTGGCTTGTGGCAAACTTTAAACGACACTTTTTATGGATATCTTTAAGAAATGGCTTTCTTCTTGCCACTCTTCCATAAAGGCCAGATTTGTGCAGTATACGACTGATTGTTGTCCTATGGACAGAGTCTCCCACCTCAGCTGTAGATCTCTGCAGTTCATCCAGAGTGATCATGGGCCTCTTGGCTGCATCTCTGATCAGTCTTCTCCTTGTATGAGCTGAAAGTTTAGAGGGACGGCCAGGTCTTGGTAGATTTGCAGTGGTCTGATACTCCTTCCATTTCAATATTATCGCTTGCACAGTGCTCCTTGGGATGTTTAAAGCTTGGGAAATCTTTTTGTATCCAAATCCGGCTTTAAACTTCTCCACAACAGTATCTCGGACCTGCCTGGTGTGTTCCTTGTTCTTCATGATGCTCTCTGCGCTTTAAACAGACCTCTGAGACTATCACAGTGCAGGTGCATTTATACGGAGACTTGATTACACACAGGTGGATTCTATTTATCATCATTAGTCATTTAGGTCAACATTGGATCATTCAGAGATCCTCACTGAACTTCTGGAGAGAGTTTGCTGCACTGAAAGTAAAGGGGCTGAATAATTTTGCACGCCCAATTATTCAGTTTTTTATTTGTTAAAAAAGTTTGAAATATCCAATAAATTTCGTTCCACTTCATGATTGTGTCCCACTTGTTGTTGATTCTTCACAAAAAATTACAGTTTTATATCTTTATGTTTGAAGCCTGAAATGTGGCAAAAGGTCGCAAAGTTCAAGGGGGCCGAATACTTTCGCAAGGCACTGTATATATGTTTGCATGTGTATACACTATATCTATCAAATGTTTGCCACTACGAGTTCTTAACATGATTGAAAGGGTTCAAACAACTTGGATATTTGCGAGATGATTTTTGGTGAGTGGAGAGGCTTAATGCCATTGAGCGGCGTCTTTATTTAAATCGCTGACTGTGATAATATGCACTCCTAAACCATGACGTTCTTGTCGAGGGGTTGTGAAATCATTTCATCCTAACACAGAGTCACACTCCTACAAAGGTTAAAATCTTCTGTGTTACAATATGTTGTGTAGCAGGCTCCAAACATTCTGTCAGTTACAAACCCAATTCCAAAAAAGTTGGGACACTGTACAAAATGTGAATAAAAACAGAATGCAATGATGTGGAAGGTTGAAATTCCAGTATTTTATTTAGAATAGAATATAGATAACATATCAAATGTTGAAAGTGAGACATTTTGAAATGTCATGCCAAATATTGGCTCATCTTGGATTTCACGGGAGCTACACATTCCAAAAACGTTGGGACAGGTAGCAATAAGAGGCCGGAAAAGTTAAATGTACATATAAGGAACAGCTGGAGGACCAATTTGCATCTTATCAGGTCAACTGGCAACATGACTGGGTATAAAAAGAGCCTCTCAGAGTGGCAGTGTCTCTCAGAAGTCAAGATGGGCAGAGGATCACCAATTCCCCCAATGCTGTGGCGAAAAATAGTGGAGCAATATCAGAAAGGAGTTTCTCAGAGAAGAATTGCAAAGAGTGTGAAGTTATCATCATCTACAGTGCATAATATCATCCAAAGATTCAGAGAATCTGGAACAATCTCCGTGCGTAAGGGTCAAGGCCGGAAAACCATACTGGATGCCCGTGATCTTC